GGCCACTCTCGCGCGTCAGCCGCGCGCGCATGTCAAACTCTGTCCAAAACTTTCACCGTCGACGCGAGGACGCCGTCATCGTCGTCGGCGTAATTCGCATCGGCGCCCGCATTCCCACGCCTTCGTCGTTGTCATCGTCGTCACCAGCCTCGCTACTGCCATCATCGTGTCTACCGTTATCGACGTTGCCATGATACCGCACCCGCCCAAGTCGCCGACTCGCAGTGAAGTGCCCGCTGGGATGTGCCCAGCATTCAGCGCCACCGCGGCCGCGTCGGTCGCGCCAAACTAGGTGGCCGCTGCGCGCGCGTGCTTTGGCCGGCGCGGCCGCAGAGATGCGCCAGCCAACGCTAATCACTCATCGCAATCGCCACCGCATGGGAGTTGCAAACCAAATTGCGAGTGGGTGGGTGGGATGTTTGCAAGAGCATGGAATGTGTCAGCTCGTTTGTAAAAGTCCATTATACATCTATCGATGTCTTGTTCTATATTTCTATAATCTGGGACCCTGCCACCCTCCCTAAACGGAGCCCCTCCGGATCCTTGGACCACGGGTACCTGGACGCCCTTGCAGACGGTCCCCTGTGCTTTCCTGGATTCCTGAAGCCCCTGCTGGGCCTAGGCAACAGGCCCAAATCGGTCATGAGGGCGGCCGGACGGCCCGCGAGAGCCCACAGAGACCCCAGACACCCCAGACACCCACCAGACACCCAAAAATGACCCAAAGAAGACCCCCAAGAGGCATTCGAAACACAGAAAAACATGAATTCTCCAAAGTTTTCGCATGATTCTGGGAATGCTACAGTCTTCGGTCTTCTGGGCGTCCGAGACTACCCAGGAGGCCAGAGTATCGCCCAAAATTTAACCAAGAGGGCTTCCAGGGAGTCCAAGAGGAGCCCCAAGATGGCCCAACAGGGCCCAAGATGACCCGAAGAGAGCCCCATGACGGCCCAAAATGGCCCCAAAACGCCTCCCGAATCATTGCAAATCGTGACCCTGTCGTTGAGGGAGACCGCGGTTGGAAGACGAGTGGCCTGGGAAAGCCATCAGGGGCCCCCAGAAGGTACCCAGGAGGCTTCTAGACGGTCCCAACAAACTCTTGAAACCTTCGCGGGACTTACTGCAAGAGGCTCTCCTGGAATGAGACTCCACAAAAAGGGTTGAGGACGGAGGTGAATTCGCAGGACATGAAGGAGCGATAACGCATAACACTATTGCAACGACGCTGTCAGAAAAGGCAACTAAGAGTTGTCGCGAAATGTTCCGTTTAACTTATTGCCGTCCTGCCTGCATGCTAAACATGAAGGACCAAAGTGCATGGCGCGAAGCTCCAATGCAGTATTGTGTATATATGTATGTATATATATGTGTAAATATATATACGTACGTAACAACTATTGTCAGTGTGTGACAGGGGAGGCGGGGGGCAACATTCCCATACACAGACATAGATATACACACACTATATATACACACAAGTGAACACAAGACTGCAATGGCGCTTCACGCCATACACGTTGGTCCTTGAAGTCTGGCATGCAGGCGGAATGACAGAAAGGTCAAGCAAACAATGCAGCGACAACTCCTTGTTGCCTTTTCTGGCATCGCCGTTGTAATAATGTAATTCGCTATCCTTTCTCCATATTTGTTTTCCTGATTCTCGCCCTACCCTGCGTATTCTTCCCCATCCTCCTCAGCTTTTTTGCGGAGGCTCCTCCTTAGAGAGCCTCTGGGGCCTCACGGAAGTCTTTCATGCTTTCTTACGGCCTTCTGGAGGCCTCCTGGGCGTCTTCTGGGGGCCTCTGGGGGCTTCCTCGGGCCACCCTGCCTCAAACCGCTGTTTCCATGAACGATCGGGTCACGATTTGGAATGCTTCGGAGGGTGTCTTGGGGCCATCTTGGGCCAACATGGGGTACGGTCTCGCACGCCCAGAAAACTGAAGAACAGGGCATTCCCAAAACCATGCAACAATTCTTGGGGGTCTTCTTTGGGTCGTCTTCGGGCGTCTGGTGGGTGTATGGGGCCTCTTGGAGCCATCGGGGGGGCGTTCGGCCGCCCTCCTGACCGATTTGGGCCCGTTGCCTGGGCCCAGCAAGGGCTTCCAGGAGCTCTGAAAACCCTGGGTGGCCTCTTGCAGGGGCGTCCAAGGAGTCCCCTGGGCCCCGGATCCGGGGGATCCGAAGGGTCCCGGGGACCTGGGACTCGGGGGATCTGGTTTCGGAGAGGGGGGTCTCGAGTAATAAATTAATAAATACATAAATAAATGAATATATATATATATACATATATATGTATATATATATATATAAAAACACATATAGGAATACACATATTTGGATAATTCGAGACTTCCCAAGCCCAGCCAAGATGTCGGCAGGGCCACCTGCACGGCCGCGAGCGGCTCCCGCGCCAGGCTCGGCCCAGACCCGTCGTCGCGGGACCCCGCGCTCTGGCCGAGCCCCGCTGGCACGACGACGCCAGCGGCATCGCCGTGGAGGCTCCTCGGGGCGCGGCTCGTGGTTAGGGAAACAAGCAATTGCATAAACATAAAAACTCAGAGGTCCGCGCAGATTGCTCGGCTCGGCGCTGGGCCCCCTCGCTGGCGCGCGGAGCGCGCCAAGGGCGGCGCCAGAGGCGCCGCCAGCGAGGTCCAGCGCGGATCCGGGAGATCCGCGCAGACCTCCGAGTTGTTATGTTTATGCTATTCTTCGTTCCCCTAGTGGTGGCTCTCTCGTCGCCCCCGGCTGGAGGCGGCTGGGAAAGCCTGGCACGATGGACCTCGGGAGGGCTCCACAGACGGGCTCGGAGCGGAGTGGGAGCGAGAGGGGCGGCCCTCCGAGCAGGCGAGGGGGGCGCCTGGGAAGGGGACGACCCAAGCGACAACGAAAACGATCCGCGAGACTGCCAGAACGGCGCCCCGGTCGACCCCTGAAGGGGAGGGGGCCGCGACCCCGCCGCGCGCGGCCGGTCAAGGCCTCGCTGGGAGCGGCCGTTCGGAGGCTTGGAGATGAGCGCCAAACCAGAAGAACACGGGGCTGCCTCCACCGGGGCAAAATGGTGCTAGATGTTGGTGGTGGTGACCGTGGTGGTGATCCCTCGGTCGCCCAAGAAGCCCGAACATTTCCACCATCGCCGAGATCGGGATCGGAGGCACACCGCCGATCATGGTGCTGGTGTCAACCTCTAGGCCTCCGAGCCGTGCCTCGCAAAGACCGCCCAGCGCTGGGGTCGAGGCCAGCGGCGCGCGGCGGGCTTCTGGGCATCGCTGAACCGACCCTTTTCGCCATGCCCAGACCCCCCGAGTCACGAAAAATCACGACCGAAGGTTTTTCGCTATTTGCGGCATCTGGGGGCCCTTACGGGGCCTCGGGACCGTCGGATCACGACTCGGGATGGAATGTCGGTCCCAGGGAATGGGCCCAATCCTCTGGAGGTCGACTCCATGAACAAAGCATGACGTCGGGGGCTCCTCCTTTCTCCTTCCCTCTCTCCCTCCCTCCCTCCTCCCTCCCTCCCTCCCTCCTCCTTCGCAATGTTCCTTCTCCTCCTCCTCCTCCTCCTCCTCCTCCTCCTCCTCCTCCTCCTCCTCCTCCCTCCTCCCTTTGCTATTATTCGTTATCTTCTTCTTCTTCTTCCTCTTCTTCTTCTTCCTCCTCCTCCTTGTCCTCCCTCCTTCTTCTCCTCCTCCTCCGTCTCCTCCTCCTCCTCCCCCTCCTCCTCCGCTCGCCCCTGCTCGCCCCACCTCCGAGGTGGGGCGAGCGGGGGCGAGCGGAGGGGGGGGAGGGCGGGGGACGCACAGTGCGGGGCACAGAGGGTGGGGACTGAGCATCTAGGGAGCCCACAAAGGACGTACGCGCCCAGCTATGTACATGAACATGGCCCCTCGATCCGCGAGACCGGCCGCGTTGTACGAACATTTGTGCAATGCGTGCTCTCGAAATCAACGTGGATTCATGTACATGTACGTCCTTCTTTCGCTCCTGAGCATCGGTGACCCGACCCCGTTCCCCATGCTGCGCAGGGGCCGGCCGTCCCGGCTTTCCTGTAGGCCTACCACGAAGTGGTCTCAGAACGAAGGCCCTGTTCTAAGAGCCAAGCACTTGTTCTCAGAACACGCCGACATAACAGAGCAAGACTGCCTCCGCCAGAGATGTTCCCAGAACATCTCGTGCAAACAACAAAAAGCTCTTAGAACATTATCTGGTGGGCCTATTGGCAAGCCAGGATGCCTCACCACTGCTTGACCATGGGCGTGGCCTGGGCCGCACTGGCCGATTTACCCCCCTAGATGGGGATACAGGCTGTTCCCTTCGGATTCCGAAGGATAGATCCCCAACTGGGACGCTGAGACGGTGGGGTCTTGATCGGGAGGGGGATGGGGATGGGGATAGGGGTCACTTAAAAGACGCGGAGCTTCGCGGCCCCCACACCCCGCGGCCCATCGCAAGGGCGACGCTGGCTCAGAGCGACCCCTGACTGAGCAGGGGGCGACCCTCCCGGCATTCCTGCAGGCCTGCAACGACACGCTCCCGGAAAACGGGGGAACGTCCCGAGAGCAAAAAAAAAAAAGGCCCCCAGCACCTGCGCGGACCTGCCGCCGACCTCCCAGGCCCCCCCCCCTGCCGGACCGCCCGAAGGCCGCCGAGACCAGGAACAAAAAAAAGGCCCGCCCGCGCGATCGCGAGCGCCGCTGGGGCGGGCCGCACGCCATCCGTGCGCAGCGCCCGCACGGCCGCGCGCGGTGAGACGAGGTGGCCGGCCAGGGCGCGGCGGTACACACCAGTCTAGGCGAGCGCGTTCCACTACTCTCGAAGCAACCACTCGCAAGTGGCCTGGATCCGCCGCGGGGGATTTACGACTCGTCACGTATAAGGCAAGCATGCAATTGTTTGTCTCTGACGTCTGCGAGCAGGCATTTTGCGAGTAGCGGAACGCGCTCGGTGACAGTCGGAAGAAGTAGGTAAAAACATGAGGTAAGAAGGCGGATAATAGAGTAGATTGGGCTCAGGCCCTCCCAGAGAACAAAAAAGCACAGCAGGAACATATCGGTTCTTGAGGTACTTAGGAAGGCGCTTGAAGTATATTGGGATCTGGGAGTCCAGAAATACAGTGCGGCCGCGGCCGCAAGAAACCCTCGCAAGAAACCCAACCCTGAAAACCTGCGCGCGAGGTGCACCCGAGGAGAAACCTGGAGCACCCTTAACGCAGCAGCTTTTTCAGCGGCTGCGGGAAGTCACCGCGCAGCGCGCGGAGCGAAGAAGCCCAGGATACCACGACGAAAACCATCTCGTTTCTTGATGCGCGCCCCCTCTGCACCTACTTTCCAGGGCCGGCATGTAACTACGAAGAGGCGGCGCTCGTGCACGGCACCGTGTGTGGACCTCCGCTGAGAGATGAGGCGGGGGGCGAGGCGGCGCAGAAGCGGGGAGAAGGGGGGGGGACCCACGGTCCCAGGCACCCTCGCGTTGTAAAAAACAAAAAACAAAAAAAGGCGGCAGGTGTTTCGCTGCGTTCGGCCTCCAGGGGCCCTTAGCGAGCCTCGGGGCCGTCAAAGAGCGCCTCGGGATGGAAAACTGGTCCCGGGGAAGGGGTCCAGACCTCTGGGGGTCGACGTCATGAAAAAAACACGACGTCGGTGGTCTGTGGTGAGAGGGGTGAGGAGCAGGCGGAGGAGGCGGAGGAGGAGGAGGCGGAGGAGGAGGAGGAGGAGGAGGAGGGCGCCCATGCAGCGCACCATGTTTGGACTCCTTTCGGGCCCCGCCCCAACGGCAGTGCGGTACACAGTTTGTCGGCTTTGAGGGGCCGACAGACTATGCACCGTACCATGCCTGGGTCGAGGAAAGAAAACTACAGTCGTTGCGCTACCACCAGGAACGCACAATAAGGAACAAAGGGGCTTTTCTGGCCACGGCAGCCCAAGGCCACAAACAGGCTCCACGACATAAATCTAAGGAACGGCCAGGCAACCCGAGCCCCTCCTGAGCCCAAAGCGGTCCTTACTTCAGCGTCTGGATTGTAGCGGAAGAAAAACTGTAAACATAATCTTTCGGAGCTCCGCGCGGAGTTCTTGGGTCTGCGCTGGGGCCACCCTGGCGGCGCCTCCGGCGACGCCCCTGCGCGCTCCGCGCGCCATGGAGGGGGGTCCAGCGCAGATCCACAACATCCGCGCGGAGCTCCAAATGTTTACGCCGTACCACTCCCGGGTCGATGACCGACGACGCCTCGGGAAACGCCAACGCGGTGCGGTGCACACGAGACTTCCGCGGAGAGAAGAGGAGGGCGAGGCGACGCAGGAGCGGGAGGAGGGGGACAAACGGTGAGAGGGATGAGCAGGAGGAGGAGGAGGAGGAGGAGGAGGAGGTACGCTCCAGCAAAACAGCATGAATTTGTCGACTGTGAGATCGAAGAAGAAGAGGAGGTGGAGGAGGAGGAGGGATGGGCCGAGGAGGAGGATGGCGGAGGATGGAGGGCGGTGAGGATGCGAGGCGGCGCAGGAGCGCGAGCAGGGGCGGGGCGGTGGCAGAGGGCAGAGGTCGCGTGCAGGTGCAGTGGCGCGGGGCGCAGCGGAGCGCTCCGGCACGGCGCTGCACGGGGGCGCCGGGCCCCTGCGCGGCAGCGGGCGGGAGCTCGGGCGCAGGGCTCTGGGCGCCGAGCTCCGAGCGCAGAGCCGGGCCGCCAGGGCTCCTCGTGTGCAGCATGACGAGCGGCCGACGACCGGGAACAGGGCAGGGAATGTGCGACGGCCTCTCGACCCCCGCCACTCTGGGCCTCCCGGATGGGGTGAGAGCAGATGGGGTCGCAGGATCGCGCCGCATCGCCGATGCATCGGTGATGCACTGGCGACGTCAACGGTGCATCGGCGCCATCGGCGTGCAGAAGGCTGGGCTCCAAGTCGAGCCGCATCGGCGATACATCGGCGATGCAGCGCGATCCTCCGACCCCATCTGCTCGGACCCCATCTGGGAGGCCTAGAAGGCGCACCCAGACATCTGGCGCCTCGAAAAAATCGAGACGGAGGCTTGTATGGTTTTCGGACTCTCGGGGCCCTTGCGGGACCTCGGGGGCGTCAAAAAATGACTCGGGATGAAAAACCGGTCCTGGGGAAGTGGTCGAGAGGCTGGGGGCCCGCGTCTCGGAAAAATCCAGACGCGGGATGTCTGGGCAAGGCGCAGGGGGGACGAGGACTGGACGACCGCAGCTGCCGCTTCGATTACAAACGGGTGCAGATGGGCTTCCAGCGGCCGCGGAGATCCGATAACCTGATTTGTTCGATGCGGGGTCCCCACAGAGATCTCGACCCACTCCTCGGCACAAGCTTT